ACACTAACAGTGAATTGTTTTTGAAGTAGTTTTGCGAATGCCGACCCTCGCTGCAGGGATGTAGGTCGAGTGAATCGCGGGGGACGCGGACGTCCCAGCTGACGTGGGGCTGGCGGCCGGCCGGGCCGGGGAGGGCGGGACACACATTAGGGCGCCACTTGAATGGGCGGGTCGCGGCGGGTCGCGGCGGGTCGCGGTTTGGGCTGTGGGGTTGGCGACGGAGCGGAAGGGTGGTGGAGGGGAGGACGGGAGGGGAGGAAGGGAGGACAGGGAGGGAGGAGGGAAGGAGTAGAGGGGGGAGGGGAGGAAAGCGGCGAGGCGGAGTGGCGGGCGGGCGCGGGGCTGCATTTGCGTATGTCCATTATTATTTGAGGGAGCCTTCGCAATCAAATTAGTGCGTGATTTCCGGGTGGGGAGGAGGAGCAGCGGAGAGAAGAAGTACGGTGTGTGTTTGTGCTCGCTCCACATGGGGCCCGGCGGGCCGCGGCCGGCTGCTGGGGAAGGGGAGGGGAGAGGATGAGAGGGGTGTTGAGATCTGGCGGATGATCGCACATGCCGCCTCATCTCATTTGCCTCTACAACTAGATTAGAGCTGGGTGGCCCGCGCCACGCCACACGCCGCCGCCACGCCCACGACAAATTATTTTGTTTTCCCATGTCAGCGCTGCTTGCTCAGCCCCGCCTAACCCCTCCACTACACTCCCTTTCATAGGAAGGCCGCGACCCCCCCCCCCACCCCGCGGCCTCCCTTACGCCTCACTTACGCCCCTGGATACGCACGGAGCGACCACAGATCGGCCCGTCCAAAGCCGGAGCAAGAGGGTCCGGCCGGCGACGCGACGCTTGATGCATTCAGCCAAACTAGGTTGCCTTCCCGTCCTGATCGGACGGAGCTCTGTGGGTCCATGAGCGGGGCCCCGGCCAGGGGCCTTTGGGGCGCAGCCAGGCGGCAGGGGCGGGTCAAGGGCCCTCCCCGGGGGGCCCGCCCGCACGGCCATCGGCTGCGGGGCGCGTTTGTGAGCCTCCTCCTCAACGATTGAACGATATTGTGTGCACGCTTACAGCCCTTTTGGCAGAAGGTTTCCATTCATTTACTTTGGAAAAAAAAATACACCATAGAGCGAATTGTGAAAACAGATAGCTCAAATAAAAAATATTATTTTTGTGGAGTGATTATTTCGCCCCGCAAAGCCCAGAAATGTAATTAGTCTGAAGAATTGTTGTGCAAAATCTGTTCCAGACGTGAGTTGGTACCAACGCTGTCGTTTTTGTGACCTCTGGCTTAGGACAAGGGGGCTTCTCGGGAATGGCGAAGTAAATTTCATTGCATTCTCACCTCGATCCTTACGCTAGATAACTCACCACAACTGTATCAATTAGTCCAGGAAGCGGGAAAAGGGGATAACTGCAAAATCATAAGTTTTCAGAAAACACAAAAAAACTGTTTTACGCTACAAATTCAAGAGCGTTTTCAACTTTTATTCTACATTATTCTTTGAAGATTGCTTCAAAGAATAGTGAGGATAGGATATTTGCGTTAAGGGAGACAAGTCGAGTCCCTCATAAATAATGGAATTTAGAGGCAAGTCCTGCCATTCGATACAAAAGGAGTCATCGCAACTATCAAATATCTCTAAATGCTATAGCATTCATAAGGGGTCAATTCGAGTTGTGTCCTTGTTCAAGCAGAACCGAGAACCCTAAATCAGCTTGACTTTTCATTCCGTCATCTCAGGACCTGAGGCACGTAGGCAAACAGGTTTTTCGGAATATGTACCTTTATTACAGTCGATTAACGGTCCCTAAAAATCTCAGCTTGGGGTTATGTCAGTTATTCCCTTTTTCCACTTCCTGGATCAATTTCGACATTTCTGGTAGAGGCAGCCACAAGGGGCTGTCTAAAATGATTTAGAATCTTCGCGGGAATCGCCATATCGCTCAATGGTTGAGTGTTTTGTTAGTAAAGCAGGTGGTGAGCTACGTGATCGAGAAGACTACTTTTAATTTTTGAGCCAAAGTAAAGTTATTATCTGATCCTCGAAAACCTGACATTACTCTGTCTCCTCCCAGCGCTGCCGCGTCCCTGGAGGGCGGCGCATCGCGCAGGCAGCCCCCTCACACCTCGGGGCCCAGCAGCCCAGCAGCGGGCGGGCGGGGGCGGGGAGCGGCGGGGCGCGGGTCGGCGGGGCCGCGTCTGCTGATGGGGTTACTTCCATATACGTGCAAAAAGCCCACAGCGGCGGGAGCCGAGGCCTCAATCAGAGTGATTGAGTGCGCCTCTACGGCGGAATGAATAAAATGAAACCGGCGCAAGCCACCGGGGCGTGGGAGGGGAGGGCAGTAAGGAGAATACCGGCACGCCCCCCTTTCCGTTTCGGCGATATGTAATTGAATTACCCCGAATCCGGCGCTGCGATACGCACATCGGCACACACACGCGTGCGGCGCGTGCCCTACATCAAAGTGTGACGTCGACACGGTATGGAAGTGTATGAGCTGATCCCGTTTCTCGCTTTTTCTCGTTCTCTCTGGTCCGACGCAACATTTCCTGTTAACAGACCGGGGAATGGCTTGTATAAGGGTCGCGATTGGCGGTGGCAGCCCAGCACAGCCGAGTCGTTGGGGGCGAGGGCGAGAGTGAGGGCGGGCGGCGGGGCGGGGTGAGGCGGGGCGGGGCTGAGAGAGACCTCAGCTGCGGGGGTTCCGCAGTCCTTAATGAAAATCTGGTTGCGCTGAATTAATACAAGCCTGGCGGGGAGCGGCGCCTGGGCGAGGCGAGGCGCCGTGGAGAGGGGCAGGGCGGAGTAGGGGGGCGGGGCCTGCGGCAGTCTGCGTCCGCGGGGGGCGGCCCGGGGGCGGCGCGGGGGCGGGGCCTACCCCGGGTAGATTATCAACGCAATCGCGAAATTCTTGGTCAAGACCTACTTTTGTTTTGTTTCCATATATTAACTTTATCGAGGCGAGCTCCCGCGAGTATACAAACGAAAACGAAAAACAGATGGGGGACGTTTATCGGGGTGCGGGCCGGGCCGGCCGGGCCGGGGGTCGGCGGCCCGGTCGATGCCAGAACTACTCTGACGGCTTCTCGCTCTCGCCATCTGATACCGCATCGCGATATCTCAAGCGCCGCGGGGAACGTCCTTGGCGCTGGCTGCTGAATAACGCGGCCGGAGCAACGGCTGCTAGCGGAGCTCTCGTGAGCAGGATTTAACTTTGAACCATCAAAGCCCCCCCTTTTTGTTGTACATCCGTTTATCTGGGTCCATCGGAGGAAGGGGAAACGGTGGCGAGGTATCAGGCAAGAAGAAAGAGAGAGACGGATAGAGGCTTGGGGTAAATGGGTTGTGGGCGCTGTCCGAGAAGGAGAGGGGAGGAGATGGGGGAGAGGGGAGGGTAGGGATAAATGGGTTGAGCGGCGTACAGTGGTATTCACGCTCTGAATGGGAAGGCCCGAATTAGCCTACGGTTTCCAGCTTCCAGTGGGGAGAGAGGGAGGAAGAGAGAACGGGGTGAGAGGAGAGATGGGGAGGGAGGGGGGGGGGTAGAAGGAGGAGAGGCTACACCACTGCGCCAACGTGTATACGCGACTAATCACGAGTAAAATATACTCGCTTAATCAAGGAGGGCCGAGCGGCAGCGCTCTTGCGGGCGAGGGAAAAGGGCCAACGGGGGGAAAGGAAAGGGGGGGTGGGGTGGTGGTCATGCACTGCGGTCCACCTAGACTCTTCTGTACCAAGGTGGCCACGCAATCAGAGTTTTAAAATTTACCGACCTTTCCCTGACTTTTAATCCGAGCACTTCCCTAAATTTTTTAAAGGTATTTTTGTGAGAATTTTTGACTTCCCCAAAATTTTAAAAATGCTGCCGAAAGCCCGAAAACACCAATTTAGAGCAAGATTCATACATTTTCCCTGACCAACGTCCAATTTTTCTGACTTTTCCCTGACTTCCAGGTTGGGTGGTGGCCACCCGCAGCTGTGGCACGCAACCTACTCGACGCTAAAAAAGAGAAATTTTGATAGTTATAGAACTTAGCGAAAATAGAGCGCCACGCTATGCAAAAATAAGAAAGAAATTTATTACCCTACGAATCAGTACAGTACAGATACAATAAAATAATTTCAATATCACTAAAACGCATCAATGCAATCGAGAAAATATAAAACTTAAGGAAACGTATACATACAAGAGCTTAGAGCTACATTATTGATAGTTTTCACAAACGTGCTCCTACTATTTTATAAAGTAATGACTATATGTACACAAAAATTATTTATCTATCTAGTTCGAACGCAGTCGGCTTTCGTCAAAAAGTGGCACCGTTGGCGTTTCTTGATCACAGATCACATTATTTCAGCCCCATTTCCGAGCCCACTCCGCGTAAGCGGGGAGATAGGCCCGTCATGGCCGGGGCAGGGGCCTCGACCAAGCACCCTCTGTCTCTGCTCGAGCCCCTCCCCGCCTGCTGGAGCTCCGCATTCAAGTTCAAGCGGGCCGATCACCCTGCCGCGTCACCAGTCACCTCACTTGGGGGCCATGAAATACTTGCTGGGTACGAATGGCATCTTGGTGATCTTGGCGCGGACGAACTTGTTGCGCACGAGGAGCTGGACCTCCGTGCCGACCTTGTGGTGGGGCGCCTGCACGTAGCCGATGGCGATGGGGTGTCCCAGCGACGGGGACGGGCAGCCCGACGTCACTTCGCCGATGGTGTCCTCGTTTTCGGCGCCTGGAGAGCGAGAGAGAGGCGGTTTGAGTGAGCAGAGAGTGAGAGAGATCCGGGATGGATGCTTCAGTTTACATTGGGCAACATCACGTCGTCGCCCGAGGAACATTGGGAAGCGCCGGGAGGCCTGTGATAAGGCGCGAGACAGCCGTGGAGGCGAGGGGGTGCCGATTCCGATTACACAGCGATTATGTCGTTGTTATTTTTATTACAAAAGTCCGACAACGTATCGCAGTATGTGGTGACGAGCGCGGAGTGTCGAAACGCTTTGCCACTTACCTCTGGCGTAGATGGCGGTGTGGCCGCGCGCTGGCGGGCCCCGCTCCACGGGCACCAGCCCCACGCGCCTCCGCAGAGGGCCTTCCTTGAGCTGCCGCAGGATGACGGACGCGCCGGGGAAGTCTGCCGCCTCCCGGCGCCGCTTGGCTGCGGAAGAGCATCGGATGAGTGAGTGGGGTTGCCACACAGTGTTTGTGGACGGACCGGGCATCGGGAGATAAAGGAGAGCGGGAGCTCGCATAGCGCAGTGCAATAGGGAATGAGGGGGGGGGGGGCAGAAACACGCTGCTACACTCACCCACTAGCCAGGCCAGCCCGGCGTCGATGGGGGTCGTGGTGATGTCGATGTCGCTGCCGTACAGGCAGAGGCCGGCCTCCAGGCGCAGCGAGTCGCGGGCTCCGAGGCCCGCCAGCTTCACGGCCGCGTTGTCGATCAGGGCCTCGGCCACCTTGCGCGCGTGCTCCGAGGGCATGGAGATCTCGACGCCGTCCTCGCCCGTGTAGCCGCAGCGCGTCACGCGGCACGGCACGCCCGCCACCTTGGCCGCGGTGGTGCGCATGAAGTAGAGCTTGTCCAGGTCGACGCCCTCGATGAGCGGGGCGAGCGCGCGCGCCGCGCCGGGGCCCTGGAGCGCGAGCAGGGACTGCTCGTCGGGCTCCAGGAAGCGCAGGGCGACGTCCTTGCCCGCGGCCCGCAGCCGCTCCTCGGCCTCCTTCATCAGCTTCTGGTCGTGGTGACGGCGGCCCGCGTTGGAGACGACGTACAGCTTGTCCTCCGTCGTGCTGCACACGATCAGGTCGTCCAGGATGCCGCCCGTCGTCGCGTCCGTGAACACCGTCAGGGTGCCCGAGTTAGGTGCCAGCCCCTGGAAGGAAGGGAGAGAGGTGGTTATTGTACATACAGTCTGATGAGGAGCGCCAGCAAGGTAGGGGCGGGGAGCTCACCTGGACGTCCGCCGTGGTCAGGGCCTCCATGAGGGCGGCGCGGTCCTTGCCGTGCACTTCGGTCTGCAGCATGTGCGACACGTCGAACAGCGAGGCGCAGCCGTCGGCGCGCGTGTGCAGGTGCGAGTCCCCGATGCTGAGCGCGCCGTACTGCACCGGCAGCGTGAAGCCCGCGAACGGCACCATCTTGCCATTGTGCTCGACGTGGAAGTCGTATAGCGCGGTGCGGCCCGGCTGCGTGGGTGGTGGCAGCGCCGACGAGGCGTTGCGCTTGCTCTTGATGGCGTAGATGGCGTGCAGGCCGCGCGCGCCGCCGCGCCGGGGGCAGGAGGGTGCGGCGCCGCCGTGAGCCGCGGGGGGCGGGAGCACGGCGGGCAGCGCTGCGGGCAGCGGGCTGAGCACGGCGCCTCCGCGAAGGCGGGCACAGGTCGCCAGCATCTGAGCAGAGAGAAAACAAGAACGACGCTTAGAAACAAAATCCTTTCTGAAGCCGTTTAGAGGAATGTGTGTCGCGAGGGCGCTCGGGTGTTCGAACCCGCGGCGATAGAGACAGATGGGTGCGATATGGCGGCCGGCCGTACGGACGCGAGCTGCTGGAGGTGATAAGCGCATCAGCTGTCAATGAGTTGCATAACAACAGCTTGTTTTTATTTATGGTCACCGGCCAGGTCATCTCCTCATGACGACAGCCCCGCAGCAGAGTGGGTGGCGTTGGTTTGGTCTACGTGAGCG